GTTGGTTGAAGGATCTAGCAGGTGCGGTGATGGAGCGGCAAGATTTAATCGAATTAAAGCTTCTACTGTGCCCTTGACCATGGAGGACTGCCAAAGTTATCCAGAAGGCTGCCGGCAAAGATGAATTCTTCACCTTCTAGTGGTGCCGGAGTAATCGCTCAGTTTTCTCTGCACATGTGGGATAGCCAAGAAGAATCAAAATCGAAACAGAGTCAAAAGCAAACACAAGCATATCTCTAGTTGAAAACTTCTTAATAATACCACTCTTATCATTCTGATCTGAGTCCTTAATCCTTCTAAGCATATATCATCTCGCTTCAGCGACTGATAAAGGAGTTGCCCCATTAATTACTAGTCAATTTCCACAAATTTACGACGCCATTTATATCTGAAAGGAGATTTAGTCGAAATATGTTGGAAATATCGCGCAATAAATTGGGCGCAACATTTATGAAACGAAAGTAGAAGTTGACTAAAAGAGTGTTATTTTCGGATTACAACTACAAATGAGGAAAGTGTGCGCTACAAGTGTAAGCGACAAATAGTCTAAGCCACAGCATAAACGAGTGTGGCGCCATCTAGGCATAGAAAACTCCCAACAATCTCCTTGTGCCCACGCCATACAGCCGCTCATATATCCAATAGGTAGCCTGAAGCGCTACCATTTTATCTACTCCAACCTCTTAAATACACACAAGATCGTGTCGGGAACCTAGACGAAATGGAGGGCCCTTACGTCCACAACACTCCGTGTCTCCATTTCCAACAAAATATACAAAACCTAGATCCTGGCTTGTATGGGAATGTTGTTACAATTGGACAAAGACCATGAGGGAAAATAGGCGACTGAGATGTGGAGCGAGAGGAGGAAGAAGTTTCTAAAAACCATGCCGGGTCTAATATTTTCGAGCTTTTTCGACTTAAGAACGTTTGTGGGCGCCAAGACCGAGATTTCGGCCAATTAGTCAGGAGGGCTTCTATTGTCGACAAGTCATTGGCACTCTCCAGAGCCCTGAATGGTACAAAAAAAGTTAGGCTAAGCTACCTTAGAGAAATCATGCTCTGTCAAAACTTTCCTGTCATTTCAGCACGAACTTCGGGAAGGAGGCTATAAAGGCAGAGGGTGAATTTCCCGAGGTACCCACAAGTCTGCAGTGCCCTACTGGCCAGCCTCTTCGAGCACTTCAAAAGGGTCACTATGCCTTAGGATTTAGTCCTAATTTCGGTATTAGAAGATCCCCACACCCAGTGGAACTGGAGAATTTTTCCGGCTCCCATACACCTGCAAATGGCCATGGTTTCGTTGGCTGTAGAGGGGAGATAATGAAGGGCAAAGGACTTTAAGTGAACGAACGAGGACTTGTGAGGGGAGCTGTATGAGAGGCATAGGAGGAGAAATACTACTAGATAGTTATCCTTGACCTATGAGCAAAAAGGGTCTGCATGTCCTATATAGTCATAGACTCAGAAATGACATATAATAAAATAATAATAATTTCTAGAAGGCTCTCAAATCTGTGAGTGATATTTAAATTCGACTTGTTCAATATTTTTTGGAAGATATTGAGGCTTTTACTTTGATTGGACCGATGAAAGGGAAGTAAAACAGCAGTGGCCTCAAGAGGGTGTTAGTCTGGTCTAATTTATTGTTTATTGTGATACTAAATTCTATGAATTCATAGCATGCTGAGCTCCTCTCTGAACCAGACCAAAACTGATGCAGCACCCCCATCCACTATTTTTACCAAGATATAATCTCTGATTTAATTCCCATGATAGATACCAATTTAGCTCAGTAATTGCCTGTAGAATTCAACCTCTTTTTCTCTGGAAACTTCTATCCAGAATAAATGAACCATTAGCTTAGGTCTCTAATGAATCAATCAACTCAAGGATAGATCTGTAGAATTCTAGGACAAGGCAAAGCAGGACTCGATAGGAAATGAAGAATAGAAGATGTCAAGAGCCCTTTTTTCCTTATCTAGTGTGTATTCAGCTATATAAGTATGACCAACGATTGGTGCTTCTAATACATATGAGATGACTCTTTTGCCTTCAAAGACACTATTACTCTAGACTCCATTCGCAAACACCACTTTTAAGTATATTCATCGACGCAAAAAATATCGTTTTCGAGTGTAATAGCCGTGCATTTCTATAGCCCAGAATCCGAAAGTCGTGTTAGAAATAATTTAATTGAAGATAGAACAAAATGAGATTTGAGATTGGCAGGAATTAAGTCTTGTCGAGACAAGTGGCAGAGATTCTTCGGCTTTAATACATTACCTTACAAACCAGTGGCTTCTCAATTGAGAAGATTTATTAACCAATTGGTGTGGGATGGTATTTCATCTCCAGGCCTACATACCTGGACCAGGAGGACTATTCTCAACACCTATCAGTGGTGTCCCCTACGAACCTCCAGCTCTCCCTGTAGAGTCTGCAGAGCCGAAGTTGAGTAACAAAATCATCACTTCGATGGGAATTCCCAAGCGCTTTCCTGGTCTGTATCGTCTTCATCTCTCAACACGGCCCCTATCACCATTATCATGAAGCTAACCACGATCAGATTAGATAGTAGGGTCGGAGCCCTACTCATCACCCACCCTTGATCATGGAGAAGCCATCCGATGAGTTTCCGGAGCGTACCCAGCACCCGATATAGAGAAGAAGGGAGATATGGATGAATATGCCCACCTCATGTGGTCCCGGTATCTAGGTCTCGCCTGGCTGGGGCTGCAGGTTTTTTGAGACTTTTTCCCGCGAACGCAGTTTCCATTGCTACCTTTTTTTTTGATAGAAGGTTCCGTGGAAAAAGTGGCCGAATTCAACGGATAAAAACTGAGCTGAATGGTTATTTATCACGGGCAATATATCAATGATCCTACAAGTAACAAAAGAGGCAAGGAGCACTGTACAAGGTGTGGCCTGGGTCGGAGAGGAGCCCAATGTGCTAGATAGTTATAGACTCAAGTAGTACAATAAAAACACACACACATACATACCTGAACCACATGAGGGGCGCTTATTCATTCATGTCTCCCTTCTTCTCTATATCGGGTGCTGGGTACGCTCCGGAAACTCATCGGATGGCTTCTCCTCCATGATCAAGGGTGGGTGATTAGTAGGGCTCCGACCCTACTATCTAATCTGATCGTGGTTAGCTTCATGATAATGGTGATAGGGGTCGTGTTGAGAGATAAGACGATACAGACCAGGAAAGCGCTTGGCAATTCCCATCGAAGTGATGATTTTGTTACTCAACTTCGGCTCTGCAGACTCTACAGGGAGAGCTGGAGGTTCGTAGGGGACACCACTGATAGGTGTTGGGAATAGTCCCCCTCTTAGTCTATAACTACACAGGACATGTAGGTCCCCTCTATCTATAACTCATATACAGCTCCCCTCAAGCAGTTCAAACCCTCACAGATACTCATTCAATCATGTATTTGGATGAGGCCTTGGATGCTAGATAGCATACCACGGAATAAAGATTATCCCGGGCCACTTGCTACTTATAATGATTTGAATCTACAGCCGCTTCTAGTAGTGGGCTTAGATTGTTATGAGGATTACACAGTACATTTACTGTTTGTGTATACTGTAGCTTTCCTGCAAATAAGGCAATACTTGATATTTTTTACTGTTACTTGACTTCCGTAGAAATGTCATGAAAAATGCCAGCAAACATGTTTTGGTTCTGCTGTAACACCCTCAACTTCCTTCTAATACGAGAGGATTAAATCGTCTAAGCGACCCATAAGTTAATGCGACAAGAGTTTCGTTAACAAAACACCGCGCCACTCAATCCAAATTATGATATCGTTCGTTTACGTCGTGAAAATAGGGGGTTCAAATTTACTCAGTGAACTATGTACCAGGGAGACATGTATGAGACAATACAGGAGTCAGTTATCACGTGAGTCAGAAGAACGGTCTCAGAACTATGATTGAATGCACACACTTACACGAAATTTATTTCTCCCCAGACTCTATAAAGTGGCACCCGCTTTGATGACATCAATCAATATGAGCGTTGATAGTACATCCTAGCCGCAGCGTATTGTCGAGGCAACTGACGTGCCTACTGGATTATCGCTTGGGTGGCAGAGAGTGGCGAACGGCGTGAAGAACAAAGGGCTGGTTTTTCTTGAGAGGCACCTTATTCATTGACTTGAAGTGGTTGACTGCGAAAGATTTGGCTGTTAGACCCTGGAATAAATCTCTTGGGGGTAGAAAGAGATGAGACAAACGGATGAGCGAGCGAGTGGGTGGGTGATAACCCTGCCCTCGATATCTTGGTTGTGGCTGGTGAGTTGCCAACGCCTGTGCCTTCCCCTGTCATATCGGCTGCCTCAAATAACATTACCCATCTCCTGAAAGCTTAGATGTAAAAAACTGTTAAAAACTCCCCTTAACCCCGAAACTTGTCGGCAAGCAAGTGCTTAAAACCAAACCAAACCTAACTAGCCCAGCCCTTCATTCTTCGCCCGTTGACTCGTTCGCCTAGCCCTGAAATGATGCTCGTCGAACTCAAAGCAGACGCATCTTTTACTCAATAGTGGCAGGCAACTCAACCATCTGTCAACGATTAGTCAGCAGGGCTTCCCTTGGCCATGGCATGAATGTTTTACCAAAAAATCCTACCACCTTCAGCGCCCCGTCCAGCGCTCAGTACACTCGTTGCCTCTTGCGGCGAACTGATCGGGATTTCTTGTGAGGATCACCATCCTTTCATTAACATTGCGCAGCGCATATACTGAGCTGTTCTCCTCGTGCAATCAGCCTCGGCAGATTGTCTGTGATCCTCGATTTGGCAACCGTCTTCGACAATCGTACCAGCGCTCACATGCGAGGCAACCCAATCGGTAGTCTCTTCTCTTCTGGGAGTAAGATTGCGCCGTCCTGACACAAAGGCAACGGGATCTCGAGAGCGGGGAGACGATCGGTAAACCCGTCAGACAGCGTGCTCACGACCAGCCACCCCGGAGAACGTCGCTATGCCATTCTCAGGCCACACCGAGACCGATGACTGTCCCAAACCAACTAAAAGATTAAGATGGGCTACGCAAAGACTTAACAACAAAAACGGCGGCCGAAAGCGTGGCTCAATCATCGGTCGTTTAGTTCATCGAAACTCGCAGCATAATGAGAAAAGGGACTCGATAAGTCCGGACTTCACTGGTACAGATCTACAGGATATTGAAGAACAAGGGGGTCCAGATGAAGATTCGATGGAGGTTACAGAAGGGCTACCAAGACAGGGTGAGGGTCCGAGAAAGATATATTTCAACCTTCATCTGCCCCCAGATGCTCTTGATGAAGAGGGTCTACCTCGAGTTCAATATCGGAGAAACAAAATACGGACTGCCAAGTACACACCAATCAGCTTTATCCCAAAGAACGTCTGGTTTCAGTTCCACAATGTTGCAAACGTTTACTTCTTGTTCTTGATAATACTTGCCGTAGGTTCTACCCTTCCACCTAGACCTATCCAAACTGAAGAAATTTTCCTCAGTTTTTCAGCATTTTTGGTGCATCAAACCCTGGCTTAAATGCCGTCCCACTGATAATAATTGTTTTCATCACTGCTGTAAAAGATGCTGTAGAGGATTATCGGCGAACCATACTTGATAACGAATTAAATAATTCTCCGGTTCATAGGCTTATGAATTGGAAAAATGTCAATGTAGATGCTGACGATGTGTCTCTATGGAGGAGGATCAAGAAGTCAACCACTCACTTTCTAGTCGATATGCTACGAAGAATCAAGAAAAGCGGTACGGCACCTTTGATAAAATCAGGACAACAGACAGTGGAAGGGCCCCGAATGTCGTACGAAACGGAGATTATTCGGAACTCTTCTATTTATTCAGTTAGCAGCCCAAGGAAATCGGTCAACTTGGCCCAAGAAAATATACAGATGACGCCTGTTCCCTCACCTCTACCACATCCAAATAGACTTCGAGTACCGGAATCTTCAGACCGACCGCATACAGCTTTCTCCTACGAAGGTGGAGATAGCTTACCTGCACAGAAAGTAGGCACTCTAATTAATACTAACCGACTGGTAACTGGAAATGCCAGATTCCATCGAGATTACTGGAAAAATGTAAAAGTCGGTGACTTTGTTCGATTATACAATAATGATCAAATACCGGCCGACATTGTTATCTTGTCTACTTCTGATCCTGATGGAGCATGCTATGTGGAAACCAAGAACTTAGACGGTGAAACAAACTTGAAGGTGCGGCATGCGCTACGCAGTGGTAGAAAGGTTACACACGCCCGAGACTGTGAGAGAACTGAGTTTAGTATCGAGAGCGAAGCGCCCCAAGCAAACTTGTACCAGTACAGTGGTGCAGCTCACTGGATCCAGACTCCCTTGAATACAAACTCTCAAGGAACCAACATGTCTGAGCCTATATCTATAAGCAATATGCTCTTGCGAGGCTGTAATCTTCGAAATACTGACTGGGTTCTGGGTGTCGTCATATTTACTGGATTCGATACGAAAATTATGATGAACTCTGGAATCACTCCAAGCAAGCGATCAAGGATTGTTAGAGAGCTTAATTGGAACGTCATCTACAATTTTGTGATCCTGTTATTGATGTGCCTCGTTGCAGGGGTAATTCAGGGTGTTACCTGGGCACAAGGTCGCAATTCACTCAATTATTTCGAGGGTAAATCTATTGGAGGTAAACCTTCATTAAATGGCTTCATTACTTTCTGGGCCGCTGTTATATTATTCCAGAATATGGTTCCTATTTCTCTCTACATTACTCTGGAAATAATTAAGACGTGCCAGGCTTTTTTCATCTACAGTGATACTGAAATGTACTACGCAAAGCTTGATTATCCTTGTACCCCCAAGTCATGGAGTATATCTGATGATCTAGGTCAAATTGAGTATATTTTTTCCGACAAGACCGGCACTTTAACTCAAAACGTCATGGAATTTAAGAAGGCGACAGTCAATGGAATTCCATACGGTGAAGCCTATACTGAAGCCCAGGCTGGTATGCGGAAACGCCAAGGAATTGACGTTGCTAAAGAGTACGCAAGTGCCCAAGAGCAAATAGCGCTTGCTCGTACGGCAATGCTTGCTGGTATCCGAAAGATCCACAATAACCCGTACCTCCATGACGACGAACTAACGTTTATCGCTCCTGACTTTATATCTGATCTAGCTGGAGAGGCTTCACAAGAACAGAAGCAAGCGAATGAGGGGTTTATGCTAGCTCTCGCACTATGCCACACTGTTATCTCGGATACTATTCCTGGTGATAGACCAAGAATTGAATTTAAAGCACAATCTCCTGATGAAGCTGCATTGGTTTCAACTGCTCGTGACTGTGGATTCACTGTTCTCGGAAACTCTTCAGATAGTATCCGCTTGAATGTCCAAGGGGAAGAACGTTCTTACAAGGTTCTAAACACTCTCGAATTCAATTCGACTCGGAAAAGAATGAGTGCGATTATAAGGATGCCTGACAATAAGATTATACTATTTTGTAAAGGCGCTGATAGCGTGATTTATTCTCGCCTAAAGCGTGGCGAGCAAGCTGAGTTGCGGAAAACTACAGCCGAACACTTGGAAATGTTCGCCCGCGAAGGCCTGCGCACTCTGTGTGTTGCTCAGAAAGAACTTAGTGAAGAACAGTATCTGGAATGGAATAAAGAACACGAGATGGCTGCGGCAGCAATTCATGATCGGGAAGACAAAATGGAGGAAGTTGCAGATGTGATTGAGCGTGACCTAACGTTATTAGGAGGTACAGCTATCGAAGATCGATTGCAAGAAGGTGTGCCTGATACCATAGCACTACTTGCTGAAGCTGGCATTAAACTTTGGGTTCTCACTGGTGACAAAGTAGAGACTGCTATAAATATCGGATTTTCATGCAATCTCCTAAACAACGATATGGAACTTTTAATTCTAAAAGTTGATGACGAACAGATTTCTTCGGCCCAAATTGAGCTTGATCGGCTTCTAGCGCTATTCAACATGACAGGATCCAATATAGAGCTTGCAGCTGCCAAGAAGAACCACGAGCCACCCGCCACAACACACGCTCTCGTGATTGATGGTGATGCTCTGAAAACAGTACTCCACGAGCAAGTCCGTCAAAAATTTCTGCTTCTCTGCAAACAGTGTAAATCTGTGCTTTGTTGCCGTGTCAGTCCAGCCCAAAAAGCCGCAGTGGTCTCCATGGTAAAACAAGGGTTAGATGTAATGACACTTTCCGTTGGAGATGGTGCCAATGATGTCGCTATGATCCAAGAGGCAGATGTTGGTGTTGGGATAGCTGGTGAAGAAGGGCGTCAAGCTGTAATGTCGGCTGATTACGCCATCGGACAGTTCCGTTTTCTACAACGGCTGATCCTTGTACACGGCAGATGGTCATATCGAAGGCTGGGTGAGACAATCGCCAACTTTTTCTACAAAAACATTGTTTGGACCTTCACCATTTTTTGGTACCAATTGTTTTGTTCTTTTGACATGACGTACCTATATGACTACACATATATTCTCCTCTTCAATTTAGCTTTCACTTCGGTACCAGTGATATTTATGGGAGTTTTAGACCAGGACGTTAGCGACAAGGTATCCCTCCATGTACCCCAACTTTATCGCAGAGGTATCGAGAGGTTAGAGTGGACGCAGACAAAGTTCTGGTGAGTACTACCCACTCGTTATGCTCACGGCACATTAACATTTGACAGGCTTTATATGCTGGATGGTCTCTATCAATCTATTATCTGCTTCTTTATGGCTTACTTTTTGTTTGCTCCTGCAAACTTTGTTACACACAACGGTCTCAGCATTGATGATAGAGAACGATTTGGCGTATTTATTGGCCCTGCAGCAGTTGTTGTCATCAACACATATATATTGTTGAATACGTATCGATGGGATTGGCTTATGGTTACTCTCGTCATTGTGAGTAGCCTACTTGTATGGTTTTGGACAGGGGTCTATTCAGCGTTCAAGCTCTCTGGTTTTTTTTTCAAAGCTGCCACTGAAACATTCAGCCAGCCAACTTTCTGGGCTGTCACTATCCTCTCAATAATCCTAGCTCTTTTGCCTCGATTCTGCATCAAGACTGTTCAAAAGACATACTTCCCCTACGATGTTGATATCATTCGCGAGCAAGTTCGCCAAGGAAAGTTTGATTTTCTTAATCACCCTAACAGAACCGAGACCAGATTTTTCGGAGGATCATTTACACCCACAATCAACTCTGAACACGTATCAGCTCCGTCACATAATTTTGACGAAGATAGGCGTCCTATATATCCCCCTTCAGTTGCACCAACGTCTACGACTCACAACACTCGAAGTGGCAGTGATGGAACTGATTGTACACGACATCGAGTATCATTAGAAGTACCTTCCAGGCTCTCCATAGAAAGACCAAGGCCTTCCTTTGACCGAATGCGGGTAAGCTTGGATAAAATTCGACCAAGCTACGAGGCTAGTAACGACTTTACATCTGCAGCCCGCTTAGCACGCCTAGAGTCATGTCACTCCATTAACCTTCCACGTAGGAGAGAACATATCAGTAACCCACCATAACGTGCGTCAATCATCGAAACTTATTTCTTGCGCGCCCTGTATAGTATTCCTATTTTCTAAATAATTTCATAGGGGAGAACATTTAGGTATTATGATCTGCAAATGCGATCTACCGACCGGGTTTAATTTTTTATTTTGATGTCGGTAAAGGTGTTAGTGGCGTTGTTGGAAACTGTCGAGGCTATGGTGGTTCCTGATGTGTTTGACAGCATAATAGCCTTTCGACTATATACTGATCCAACCAAGGCGTACAAAGACTAGGAAGGCTTGCGATATTTTCTTTAGATAGTTTCTGGAATGGAAGTACGGAAAATACCCATTATTAACACATTATTGAGTCAATTGAAATTACCAAGAATTCATAGTGGTATGACTGAAACACCTCAAGATTTTGGTACCCACAAACTGCTCCCAATCCCTTGACTACCCACGCAAAAATTTCTGATCGCCCGCCCAAGTGTTAAATTCTGCATAGTTTCCCGCCCTAGGCAAACATCTAGAGACCACTTCAGTTCAATTAGAAAATAATCATACCCGATGGGAAATATCGGCTTTGAGGACGCGGCTGACACTACAGGGGTAATCCAAGGCATGCTAGGGTAATAGACACGACAATCGCGTTAAGGTTATGTCGCTTTAACACTAAGATGCTATCTTTCTACAGAATAGATACACATCTGCCGACCAGCATCTAGAGATCATGTTATTCAAGTTAGAAATTTTGTAATCAAACTACCAAACTCTTGGTATCCGTGTCATCCTCCTTCAATCATCTAGCTCATTTGGATGCCAACGAAGATTCAAGATCATAGTTTAAACTACTCGAACACTCCTTCCATAACCACGCAAAGTGTTAATATTTCTGAGTGATTGTACAAATCTTTCTGATCGAATTCTACGGTACAAGACATTAATGCGAAATTTCGATGTTACAGGACGTTCTTACAGTAACAGACGGCTAAAATGAAGGAGGTGGAAATTATGAACGAGCTTCAAGGGCTCAATGGGTTTGACTCACCTCTACAGTAGCTTAAAATCATGAGAGATTCTTCACTGACATCATAGACCACAGGACTCTCCAGAAATTTCCACCAAACGTTCACTGGTTCTGTCCAAAGCAAAACGACGATGATTATGTCGATTACAGCAATCTAGACGAGACCGAAGACGAAGTTACACCAGAAAAAAAACAGGAGCTGATACGGGATTCAAAGGACCGGCACAAAGTTGCATACAAGTGCTCACTTGTCCTTGGCTTAGCTCCAGAACAGGCTGGACGAATGCTTGAAGAATATAAACAGCAACTTAACCATCTTTTGAGTCGTTGTGATAAGTGTGTTTATAATTGGCATTTTGGTAGAAGAGCATTCCTGAAGGAGCTATCTGAGTGAGCCTTCATCTACTTTGCTATGGCATTTCTCACTATACTTAGACAATTCGACGACGAGATCGTTGCCGGGCTGACCCGACGGTTAAATGCGTTCGATTTTTGCCGGATACACCAAGGTCTCGAGATAGCACACAACTTACTATCGGCAGTTAACATCTCACAACGGACTCAGAGTTATCTAGCAGAACAAGACCCTACTTCTCTCATTGCATTGTACGAAGCCATATGTTGTATAGATTTTCACAAAGATGACAAACTCTTATCTAAACATTTCGATTTTGTGTTTGCCAACATCCAATCTAGAAAGGTACTCCGTATCACCGACACTTTACCTGCAATGGCCAGATTTCTATTCAGTCGAGACCAAACACGCCAACATTTTGGTCGCACTTCTTGGCGAAAAATGACACATTTACTCTCGATCAGAGATTTTGAGTGGATTGTACATGATGTCCTTATGGAGACTATGCTTTTAGTCGCACTTCCAAGTGCGGACCTTATCGATATCGAAAATTTTTGGTCTGGATTTTTTCTGATGCTCCAAAAGATGGATGAGACCCTCATCACACATTCACTTAGCGGTATGGAGATACAGCCAAGCATATATCATCTTGCACTTCAGCATCTTCATTGTCATTCAGATGAAATTGTCAACTCAATTCTCAAATCCATACTGATTATGCTTAAGCTCGCGCCGAATGCTTTCTGGTCAGCTATGGGGACGATATCTCCCTTTACCGTGGCGGAGTTGATATTAAAAAGTCCTGGACTTGCTAAGATACTCCATAGCCAAAAGGCATCGGAAAATTTGGACGAAAGCACCGCCCTTTCATGGATCTCTGCTTTTCTTAATTCGCTGACGCCAATTCATCAGTATGACGCTTGTCGTGCTTTATCCCTTTATCTTTTCGACCGATTGCAAGACAGCCAGTATCCATATCCATCCCGAATGGCTTGTCTACAAGCCGGTTTGAATGCCCTGTCCACAAATCTACAGAAATTTATCAGTCCAGAATATAAATTAAATGCTTCGACTTCTCTAATTGTCATAGGCGATATTATGGGACTTATTGACAAATTTAAGAGTACAATCACTCGATCTGCCGACTTGGTTGAAAGTGACGAGTGCAACGGTAACCTGAAGAAATTTGGCAGATTAGTAATTCAAGATGTCCTCACTCTTGATTGCAAGGCTGTCAGCTCTGAATGGGCAGCTCTCTCAGCTGGAAGCGAAGTTCAGCGTGGATCGAGAGTTCATTCACAAGGAATATGGCAGGCAGTCTTGGATATCTTTCGGCCTGGAAGTATTGAGCTGGCGAAGTATATTTTACCTTCCACTAATCTACTAGTCGGTATTGACGAATTACGTCCTCAGCATAAGAAGCGCCCAGAAACTATGCCTACGAACCATGTACAGTTTAACAAAGACTTCCACGAACTTATGGACAACATTGCCCGTATTTTTGAACGTTTGAGCGACTTTTCTGCCGACGATCTCAACCAACTATCTAGAGATCCTTTAACGGCTAGGCCATTGTTTGCTGCCTTAGTCTCAATGGATCAGGGTGTGTATGAGGCCGCAGTGGAGCTCATCAAAACAATGACCGGACAAGATGATCGTCAAGATGCACTTAGAAGTCTACTCGAGACCGCGTTCAGCCCCCTTCTCGGATCACTAAACGCTGCTGTCATAAAAGTTTCAAATGCAAAAACATTTGGCTCCACACCACGTCTCGTTAAAATTGGCCGCGAGCTTCTCCAAGGATTGTGTGGAAGTACTGGACTTCTTCGTGCGCGGAATGAATTCTCAAGTGGGGAACGACATGCTATTATGGCCTGGTGGACAAGTCAATGGAGAGCGCTGGATGTCATTTTCTCTTGCACGGAAGAGTGGGGCGAGAAGGTTATTAAGCCTACATCTGAAATGACTGATTTTCTTCGTGATTGCATGGAATATGCCGAGGCTTTATTCAACGAGTACAATATATTCGCCTCCGCAATGCGAGTGCAAAGTACACCTTCCGAAAAGCTAGCTAAAGATTTGGAAGTACATTCAAAGGATTCACTCACTCGGATTTTAAATATTATTTGTCAGAACATTAATGGTTTTGTGGGAATGCTGAGGCTTAGAGACTATTATTTGATTAGTGTTGCTGTAAAATTACTAGTTAAATTACTTCGCTGTCTCGGTGAGTTTGAGCTAGAAGTGCATGATTTTGCGTCTACTTTTATCAAGGACGCCTGTAAAGAAGAAAATCGGCCTGGTTATCGAAAAACAAATCTGAGCAATCAACAAAAGGCTGAATTGCGACGAGCCCTCGACGAGCATCAAGGTATCGAGATCGTCGAAGGACCGAAAACGAGCTTGAAGAAACAACCAACTCTCGATGCATGGTCAAAGTTAGCCGAGGGAAAACTACATGAACCAACTTTACCAGTAAAATGTCATACTGACTTTCCCAAGACTGATATACATAAAAATCGAAGCTCTTTAGCGGAAATGCGAGCTCGAACGACGGCCGCCTCCAGAGAAGCAAAATCTAAAAAGGGTGTAGAAAGTTTTAAGGAGCGTCGACGCCAAGCTGAAGAAGAAACTAGACGAAATAAAGCAGAAGCAATTGCTCGCGCGAAGGCACTCCGTGCTCCTACTGGTCTACGTAGTGAAGGCTCAGGTATTAACGACATCAGTGGTGTTACAGGGAAAGACCACGCGCCAAAGCGTAGTGAGCTTCTATTTGGATCATCTGAATCAGAGTCTAATGAGGATGAAGACGAAACTAACGCCCTTTTAAAATCACAAAAAGCTCGCAATCAGAAAGTTTCGGAGTATGAAGCAAGTCGGCGGCAAAACTTCTTACAGCCCCAAGGCCCGGTCAAAAAAATAAAGATTCAGAGGTCTGCCAAGGATTTGCGTGCTCGTGTCGAGCCAAACATGGATAATCTGTACATTGAAATACTAAATTGGGATCTTTTCCACTCTGGAGATGAGCCACCTAGCCACAATATTTGTCGAAAAATTGACCACAGATATGTTGATCTCCAGCTCTATAAGTCAACATTCGGCCCTTTACTCATTTCGGAAGTGTGGCGGTCACTTGTAACAGCAAGAGAAGAAAATAATTTTAAGCACATCGAGATCAAAATTCTAAATCGGCTTTCTGTAGATAAGTTTATCGAGGTTAGCACAAATATGCCCATTTCGTCCAACAAGGATATCAAGATATCTGAACGAGATATAGTCTTACTATCCCGAAGTTCAGATCCTATGAACAACCAAAACGAGCCTCATTGTCTTGCTAGAGTAGATCGAACGAACCGGAAACGAGATGTAATAGAAATAACCTATCGTGTAAGTAGAGATATTCAACAACCCTTACTTCAATGTTTGGTTCCAAATGGAAAGCTATATGCTCTTAAGATCGCAGACATGACTACAACTCAACGAGAATATGCAGCTCTCAGTAGCTTGGAGTACTATGATTTGTGTAACGAGATACTAGAAGCCAAGCCATCCCCGCACCAGAATTACTCTGAAGAAAAAATCAACTCTACTGTAGCTAAATATCAGTTAAACAAAGGTCAAGCGAAGGCGATTCTATCAGCTAACGATAACGATGGATTCACTTTAATTCAAGGGTAACATAACAGTATGCATAACACAAATTCTATGACTGACTTTTACAGACCACCCGGATCGGGGAAAACAAAGACAATTGTAGCAATGGTAGGGTCTTTACTTACTCAAACTTTACAGCAGCAAGCGAATGAGTTGAAAAGGATAAAATCGGCCGTCCAAGGCCAAAAGCAGCCTACTCCACTTAAAAAGAAACTCCTTATTTGCGCCCCAAGTAATGCCGCCGTTGATGAATTGGTACTTCGACTGATGGACGGTGTTCAGCCATGGGATGGTCCTCGACAAAAGATAAATGTAATCCGTATTGGTCGTAGTGAGGCTATTAATGCTAGCGTTAAAGATGTGATGTTAGATGAGCTTGTAAGAAAAAAGCTTGAAGGGGATAATGGTGAAAAGAACAAGCTTATCAAGGATAGAGAAAAACTCTACAAGGATGCTGCAGCAGTGAAAGAGCGCCTTAATGAAATTCGGCCTCTGATGGATGATGCTCGTAAGAATGGTGATACCACCCAAGAGCTCAATTTCCAGCGCCAATTTGATCAATTAAAGCGCAGCCAGGCATCCATAGGAGCAAAAATTGACGAAGACAAAGCCAGCGGTAACACAGTATCTCGCCAAGATGAGATCAATCGACGCCGATTTCAGCAAGAAATTATTGACAGTGCTCATGTTTTATGTTCTACATTGAGTGGTAGTGGCCATGACATGTTTCGAAACCTGAATGTTGAATTTGAAACAGTGGTAATCGATGAAGCTGCCCAGTGCATTGAGCTAAGCGCATTAATTCCTCTCAAGTACGGCTGTTCGAAATGTATACTTGTCGGTGATCCCGAGCAGCTTCCACCAACTGTGCTATCAAGATCAGCGGCTAGTTATGGATACGAGCAGAGTCTATTTGTTAGAATGCAGCGAAATTTTCCTAAAGATGTACATTTACTCGACACTCAGTACCGCATGCATCCCGAAATAAGTATCTATCCGAGTCGAGAGTTTTATGGTGGTAGACTTATCGACGGCGAGAATATGGCGAGATTGCGGGACCAGCCTTGGCATGCCAGTACCATACTTGGTCCTTATCGTTTCTTCGACGTCAAAGGTTCACAAACAAAGGAAGCTCGTGGGCACTCATTAATAAATATACCGGAATTAAATGCAGCCATTGCCTTATACGAGCGCCTCAAGGCTGATTTCCAGCACTACGATTTTACTGGTAAAATCGGTATTATCACGACGTACAAGGCTCAATTAGTTGAACTTCGGTCAAGATTTGAACGTCAGTTTGGCGATACAATCTTTAATGAGATTGAATTTAATACAACAGATGCCTTTCAAGGACGAGAACGTGATATAATAATCTTTTCGTGTGTTCGAGCTAAAGCCTCTGGTGGTATAGGCTTTCTTGGGGATATCAGACGTATGAATGTAGGCCTTACTCGAGCAAAATCATCTCTCTGGGTCCTCGGTGATTCGTCAGCCCTTCAGCAAGGAGAATACTGGAGCAGGCTTATACAGGATTCAAAGAAGCGTGGCTTATACTCGGGCGGAGATGTAATGAATCTACTTAGACGCCGTACTACTCACGATAGACAAAGTCTCCGCGAGGCCCAGACAAAACCATCAGCTCCTATTCAATCAGTCCAGGAGCAGTCAAATCGGGAAATATTTGATCAAGTATCACTACCCCATATTAAGGAAAATGAAAATCCCAATAATACATTTGAAGCGCCACAGCAAGTCAACACGAACACGCTTTCGACACCTGGACGCAATGAAAGGCTTTCTACTTCACTGATTTCCGTCTCTCAACCCGCTCATCCCCTGATAGCTCGCGAAAAGAACCACCTTGCGGACTCAAACGGACGAAACATGTCGGTAACAATGCCAACACCAACCTCTATTGATTTGAAGCTCAAAAAACGACCCTGTGAGTTCGGTAACGAAGGCCTGGCCAAAAAGGCAAGTGAATCTTCTCTGATTATATTTTCCTAATGATTTACTGACGTCACAGCCACAGGTTATGACTAATACAGACAAAAAGCCGTCGGAGTTGGAAATTGCACTCGCTGCACAAGAAGCGGCCATGGCTGCCGCCCCACCCCGGCCCGTTCGGCCTCCTGGCGTACCGCCGCCTCGAAGGAGAGCACCAGCTGACCCATTTATCAAAAAGAAACGACCCCCTATAAAAAGGTAAAGGTACATAGATTCTTGCGTATACAGTCTGTAACTACAATTAAACTATGCGTAAGACTAAAATACACAACAAGGTAGTGGCTGGTAGAAGTTTCAATTTTTTTCGGGTAAACGTTTAACGAACAGGGATACCTGGTTAATATGAGCACGGACTGCTGATCTACATAGATGGTAAGCTCGTCACAGAAAACCCTCTCGAAGGGTCGATGCCACAAATACTTGCATTTTAAGTGAATACATCAGCTGGCTGCACAATGTACTCCACCATTTTGAAGAGTCTCGCAGAAGAAAAGTCAGACCAGCTAAAAATACATGCACCAAACCGAATTTATTGAGCCATGACACGCCATCAGATCAAAAAGCATCCTTTCCGCATTAGCGTCAAATCTCGAGATGGGGTACCAGTCTTTCTGACTTTGAGCAACCCCGAATCTTTAATCCCTCCCACGGTTGCCGAGATACAGCCCTGTCCAGTAACGGGAATACCCGATCATTCCAGATGGCAAATGAAATGAGGGGATGCGCGATTGACATGGGATTGTTCGGGTCAACTAACATCCGAACCTTACTGACCTGTAATCGGTCCCGACAAAAATTGATGGGCATGGATTTGTAAATAAGATCTGGAAGCGTCTGACAGGGAGTTAAGCGGAGCCCTGATGCACCCATAATCTGGGCTTAATTGTATTTACGGTAAAGAGCCTGGCAATCTTTGCGATGTTCTCAGTTAGCAGGGCTTGTTAAATCTTCAGATACGCTGCTGCTGATATTTCTTGCGCACGGTTGTAGAAGTGAGTGAAATATTTGTTTACAGACTTCAAGCCCACAAGTGACTGACAAGTGATGAGACCAATTAGAAAACCTCCTTCGTTCGAATCAAGATGATTATCGAGCCGAAGAGTTTCCATCGATCGCGTGGCGATTGACAGGGTCTCGATGGAATTCCACGACAAATAATGCCATCCGTCCACAGCTGACGCCTGGTTATCAACGTGATAGAGTGGAGCTAGACCAGGGATTCGGGACTCAGAAATCTAATGATCATCCTTGATGGGCTGGGCTTCTTCAGTTGTGCACAGACGCGGCTGCTTCTCTCGACCCCCTTAACCGAGAAATTGCGTGGGTAAGCCTTTCATCCGTCGCCCAATCCGATATTTATTGATTTGTGGTCGTTCCCATCTGCATCGATAGCTCAAGCTTACCATCGTTGGCTCGCAGAATCTAACAAAGGGGTAAGTTTGTTTATTTGTTTGTTTATGTGTACACCGGGGCTTCTGTCGCAGAAGCTGCATGGTTGAGATGCCCTCCATCACACCGATTACGATGATTACATTTAGGTAGAGTGACCGCTACTTACACATTCACACTAAAGTTTTGCCATATCTATCCACCTCATCTCCAACAATCTCTGAGTGTGCAACGAAGCGTTCTGCGACATCACTCATTTAGATTGCCTCCCCAGCATTAGTCGGTGAGTTCAGAGGCAAAAAGCTTTTTTCAAAATATATCTAACTCCAAGCCTTTACAGACGCCATATGTCTTCTGCATCTACATTCTCACTCGTTAGAAAGGTCTGCATCGCTCGACAGTAACCTCTTTGGGACATTAAAATATTTACGAGACTTTATTTCAAAAATGCAAAATGCTCAGAAGCACGATCGCCGGAATACTGAGTCGAACATTCACGACAATGCCGGCAGACTTTTTGCTCTGTCAAGGCATAGCCTCAAATCAGATAACTCCGCTCACGTCTGTAAAGGCCGTGAGGTAAATGAAATGGCGGACTTCTTCATGAAGTGTCCTCCGCCAGTTAGCCATGCAACGGCACAAGGTTTAAGCGATAACGAAAAACGCAGTACAAATATAAGACACTCAGCTTTAAGAATGTTTGGGCGATACAAAAAGAAAAAGTCAACAGCTTCTGAACCGTTACAACACCTAGAGAGCGCCGTGTCATCAAAAACACGTAGTGGATCTAAGCACATGGCGATCTCGGTATCTAAAGAAGATAATTTTTGCGCAGTAAATAGTGAGTGTAATCTCCCACAGACACTTATCTCCGAATGTGGTTCTGTCACTGTCCTCAAGCCGGTATCGGAGTTTGGAGAATTGCACCGATTTTCCCAAGGCCATCATAGGGACTCTGCCCAAAGTAGTCGCGCAGAAGATAGGCAAGAGTTTTCCATTCACGGACCTCTAATAGAAGAATATCAACCGAATTATAAAGTACAACCCAAGCGACGAAGGGAGACTGGTGCATCAATATCTACCGTGCGATCAATTAAGTACCCAGTCTGTACTCAGACTAACAAGCGGCAAGACGGTCATCAAAGCCCTGGTATGGATTCAATTCATTCAAGGTCGTCTCTTAGTCTTTTATCTTTGGCTACGTCTAGAACATGTAACTCACCCGACGCCTCAACAAGCAGGGGTACAAGCCCAGATTCTTCTTATTACCCTTACAGCTATCGATCACACTCTTCCTTGGAGAGACACGCTCAAACTTCTGAATTAGTTAGTCCGTACGGGCCAATTCCATCTACTCCGAAAAAGGCAGGAGAGGCGCCTTCCGCATCTCCACTTGTATTCGGAACGGGTACCGCCAAGCTTGCGCGTAGTTTCTCAGGTGCCGGGGTTGAGAAAGCTCATATTGTACGATGCTCCACGCCCAACCTACTCCCTGGTCCCGCACCTACCTCTAGGCTACCAAACCTCTCAGCATCTCGTTCAACACTCTCATTACCAGCACAATCTTCTAATGAAAGCTCACAGATTATATCTGAAGTAAAAGATGTGAAGCGACCAGGCTCACATAAGGCATCAACCCTACATGGCAGACATCAAAACTTCAAGACTAGAGAAGCTCAAGCCCAAGGACCGTCTAATCAATTTCCTGTGATTAGCCTAATGTGTGATTCCTCTACTCAATGCGTTCAGCAGGATATTCAGCCTTCTCCTCAACTAATCAGTTTAAGCAGTATAATAACTGTTGCCGACTTACCACCAGATGATGTCTGCTTGATAAACAATGCCAGCACTCATACACGAAAGAAGAGAAGCCGAAAATGGTCATCGACGCCTGATCTATCAGCCGTCGCTGCACAAAATGCGCTGAATGATCAAAATAGGAATTCCGGAATACAAATGGAGTGTAGATTAAACAAGCATTCTGGAAGCAATCCTCTAAGACTCAGAGATGTAAGTACTGGTTCACGTCGACAAGAACGGAGGCCTCGAGCACAGCTTCCAAAAGACCGAGATCTAGATTCTCGAATATGTAAGATGGAGCGCGATAATGCCACTTTATTATCAGCTTTAAATGGCATTGTTAGAAAGTTCGGCGAATTGAACGGCCTCGGGACGACATTATCGTTAGAAGAAAAGAAAGACGTGGCTCTAAAAGGTCTGATGTCAACAGAGTTCACGTGGAGTGTAGAGAAGGCAGAGACGCAATTTGAATGATTTGAAGAAGAAAAAGGTTTATTGCGTAGATATAGGAGATGCCGATATAGGTCTGAGAATGATGAAAGTACCTGTAAACTTTGGGTTTCAAGCTATTGTCTTGACATATTTCGCCTATATATAAGCTTGCTATGTGTTACATTCTGTTTATAGAGTTTCTAGATTTAAAAGTGTTCACTAAGTTGCCGCTGATCATTTGAGCGAAATCTGAACAGCGAATATCCTTGTGGACTTTCACGAAGATTTAAAATCAGGCTAATAACTATCCCTAATCGCGGAGAATGGGCTGAGATTCCCAGGTTAAACAGCTCCTGTGCTATATAACTTTAGGTAGCATACGATTTGTACGTGAGCTAGGATTTTAATTGGGTTGTACGCATGCAACCGCCATTCATGCATCTCATGACGGCTGATCTCAAATTGTGCAGCAAATAGTAATTATGACTTCAGCCTGATGTGAGCTAGCACGACGTAAAATAATAATAAAAATGACTTCAGCCCTATCCGTCAAACTCCTGGGGCCCAAATTTCTGGCATTGCTTAGCCGCATTGGCAGATCTTAAATTAAGATGCAGATAGCATACAAGGGGTTGTGAAGACAAGGTTTCGCTATGCGGACTCCATGGATGGAGGGTTAGGGGCTTTCTCCTTGGCCTGTCCCTGCATAGGTAGGATGCACATAATGCATCCTACAGTCTCTCCCTGAAGGTTAATCTGGGTCAGGTGACGGAGATCGAGAGGATGATGAGTTGAAGAGGGTCTTAGCCAGCTCCATTAACTACAGTCCTGCTGTGTGGCACCAGATGCCCTGCGCGCCCGTGCCCTTGTGTACAGCGCGCTCGTTCGAAATACTGGCCACCGCCGCGCGCACCAGCTGTGCCAAGTCTCGGGGCCCACAGGCCACGACAGCCATCTCGCCCAAGGCCATCTCCGCCGAACGTCGGATCAGCGATCGCAGATCGGGCCGGCCCCGGAGGATTTCGAAACTGTTTAACGACTCAAGTCCCCCCGCCGCCGGCAATTGTTGTGACTTGGCTTCGGCATTGGGCTCGAGCATGTCCGACGACTGCGCATCGTCGTCGCGTCCCGTAACATGTACTGTAATCTCGAGGGCAACATCGACTCCGCGATTCCGTAATGCGGCGACAGCAGCTAGTGCCGTCATCAGCTGTTCCCGGAACCATATAATAGCGGTCGATCTTCTAACCATCCAAATAAAACGAACCTTCCGCGTCACGGCGCCGGGAGGAGGTTCCAGCAGCCTGCTCGGACTAGCACCTCCGGACCAGTGCTGAACTACCTCGCGCATCAGTGGAAGTGTGAAGGCGGCGCCTGTCGTGCCGGCGATGAAGACGAGACTATCAAACTGACGCAAAGGTCGTATACGAGAGTATGGACCTTCAATCAAGAGATTGCGGCACTGAGCTGGCGCCTGCTCAGCCGAAGCCAAGGTCATGGACGCAGCATGGCGCCAAAATTTGCGGGTAGTGCCATGTTTGGCGCGGATGGTGAATTCCATACGCCCGTCAGCTGGCAGTGAAGCAATAGAGAAGGGATGCGCAGTGAAGGGTGCGAGAGAAGGGCAGGTTAATAGTACGTGTTGTCCGGCTTTCCAAGTCATGGGCGGGGCATCGATCACAAGACGTAGATGCTCTTCATCTAGTACTTCGAAGTGACCCTTGCAAGAGAATAGGCTGCCACGACTCTTTGGCGCATGCAAAAACGCGAGATTGATGCGCAATAGGAAGATGAGGCGAACTAGGCGATCTACGGCCCAGGCGGCAAAAGATAGCCATATCCAAATTTTTCGCTCTTGCGGGACATGAAGGTAGATTGCCACCAATAGTCCGAGCCATGAAATAAGATGCTGGACCACAAAGAATTCGTAAGCTAGATTCCGGATGGGTGCTGCCGAGGATAACACGAGCCAGACGAGGAGGAGACCAGCCGCTATACCTCGTCGAGTAAGGCTGTCGTCCTGAATTTTTGTAAGAATGAATCCAAATTCGCCCCACTCCCGTAGCCAGAATCCTGCGTGGATGAGGATTGTGAGCAAAAGACATCGGGCAGTCCAGCGATGAAGCCAGTTCAAGCGTTCATATGAGGAGGCGATGAAAAGCCCGATGAGGTTGCGCTTGCCCGCGAGCAGAACGGTCAAGGGCAGCTGGCATAGGGCGATGTAGCCGGCACGATAGGCAATGCTCTCCCATTCGAGAAGGTTCTGGGGGTGGAATTTGTAGAAGCAGCAGGCTATTGTAAGGCTTGCGTAGGCCGTAATAGTGATGGTCGTACCGCCCGAGGGCATGCGGAATGTGCGTCGGCCGAAAGTTAGCAATGGTGAATAGTAGCAAAACTCCCGCTTTATGGCAGTCATAGTGGCATGAACTTGGAAGAAGAATGAGCTTGGTCTAGCTGCAGCATGAAGCTTGGACGATTGGGCAATGCGTTGGTGTGCAAGATAGCGATTGACAAAGGCCGAAATAGTGAGGGCGGTAATAGCAGAGACAATAAAAGCCCAGAACACCACTTGCATGGAGACTAAGCTGGGTATTTCGGCTGTGGAGTCCCCAGTGGTAGCATGGTGATGATGGTGGCCATCATGACGTGGGACAAGTAATGAATCCATGGTGATTCTTGGGAGGGCGAAGAAGAGCATTGGCATTTTGATGGAAGTTTCGGGCCGGAGAGGGAGGTCGACGTAGACGTAGTGTTAAAAGCGCAAGAGCGGCGTATGACGCTGTCAGTAATTAGATGGGTCGAGGAAGCGTCGGCACATGGGCAGCGAGTGAGAGCTTTTGATCATTGCTCGATGGTGAGCACAAGGGGTTGGGGAGACGGGGTGAGGGCAATCCGAGAAGATTATTCAAACCAGCAACTATGCCATGCGACAGCGCGCTCTTCCAACAGCCTTACGTGTGTTGCGTAACAAGCGGCTGGGGTTGAGCAAGTTTGAGCAATTATGCCGCGAGAAGCCTCGTCGGTATGAGTAGAACTGGCCGTTAGTGTGACGGGGGGGTGCCTCTATGCACACGCGGCATTGATTCCAGTGGCACAGGGAATGTCTATTACCCGAGTTCGGCAGAGGCTGCTGCTGCCGGCAGCTCCGCCTCGGCCCTCCCTCCGTGCACGAGTCGGAATCGCCATATCTATCGGCGAGAGGATTGGCCCTTACCAACTGTGCACCGCTTGAGCTTCTATAATTTTGTGCGCCATCGTTAACTAGCACTTGAAATAGCTCGAGTTCACCCGCCCGCATCTTCCTTCAGTGTTTCGGGCATCATGTGATCGCATATGCCCCAGACGGGCTGATATAGCTGAGGCATGGAGCGCGTTTCACCCGCCAGACGGAGTCGCCCCGGAACTTAGTCGTGACGCATTCGCATAATTCTCTCTTCGATTTGAGGGGAATGTGGTCGCGAGACCGGCGCAACAGTCTGATGTAGAGGCCGACAATATTCTCCTGTAGCCTCTCAACGCGTGAAGCGGCTGCCCAGCAATACAGTAGTGGAGAATCCGAGCGGACGGGTCGGAGAATTGGTGCGCAAGGCTCCGTTCGCCTTCTCTTCCACGTGCCAGCGACCAGGCTACCAATGATCGTTGCGGCTTTGTCAGGAAAAGACGCGACATTGCGCGTTGCCAGGTGGCGTGCCCTTCGCACCTAAACGGATAGACGGTGGTCGTCGTATTCTTCATGCGTGCTGCCCTCCTTCCGTTTGACCGTCGCGCCGCTAGCCGTATAGACGCCGACTCCCCCACCTCCCACTGGACAGCTCGAACTCGCCCGTGTCATACCGAGGCTTGGCGAACGCATTGGCCAAGCCACATCGGGTCTTGTCACAGCTTCTCGTTCCCGTCGTCTCGTTGTCATTATATTAGGATGGCTCGCATGCTTCATAGCTACCAGTTCTCGCAAAAACTTAATCTCACGCTAACAACTGCTGGCCAGCTCCTAACCTTCAAAAACCCTTTTTCCATCGTTACCGCACACCTAACTCACTCACCCGTTACTACGGCGCAAAATGGATATGGACATGGATATGGATATGGGACATGACCATCATGGCGATTCTATGCCGATGGCATCAGGCTCTATGGCTATGGACATGGGAGGCATGAATATGTCCTTCTTCAGTAGCACGACAACTAGTCTCTACACTAAGATGTTTGCGCCGAGTAGTGTTGCTGCCTACGCAGGCATGTGTCTATTCCTCATTTTCCTCGCCATCTTTTCGCGCGGCCTCATCGCCTTCAGGGCTTGGCGGGAATCCGTATGGCTAGATGCCGACCGCAGACGTCGCTATGTCACCGTGGCTGGTAAAATGACACAGTCAGAAACCATGGCATCAGACTCGGACGCCCGCAAAATGGTGCTGTCAGAAAATGGCCTTGAGGAGAATGTTGTAATGGTGGAAAAGCGTCACGTAGGAGTCCGACCGTGGCGCATTTCCGTCGACCCTATTCGTGCCATACTGGATACCATTATCACTGCCGTCGGATTCTTACTGCAAGTTGATTTACCGTCTACCCAACTCAAGCTAACTTATGATCTAGTATGTTAGCTGTTATGTCCATGAATATTGGTTACTTTATCTCGATTCTAGCGGGCACCTTCTTGGGGAGCATCACTCTGGGCCGCTTCGGCAGTTTGTCGCATTAATTATTGGAGTTCAAAGGACATTATACATAGCTATTCCGTGTTCAAAGCTGCAGTGCAGAAGATTACAGACATAGTCAGTTCTTAATACTAATAACAATAGTTATCAGCCATAAAGTATACATTTTTGCCGCCGCCACGGCCAATGGACCGATTTTTGATGCTGGTACAAGATCAACTATTGATCACATATCACGTACAGTCTAAACACACAATATCCATGGAGAATTTTAATTGTTCTCTATGGAGCTCTACAATAAAGTGGGAATTTTGCAAAGTACCTTCATAGTGCCGGGCACTTGACTGATAAACCGAATACCTTGCTCTAAACGCGTTATTTGGGCACGTTATTTATCACACGACGGTCAATTTATCCAATTTGCCTAGATGTACAAATGGGTTTAGACTAAGTCATCAATTATTATCCATACGATACGTGGCTTATTAAGTCGTACTGGTTAGACATGGATAGTTGTAGAATCTACAGAAATTATATTTTCACATCGTTCACTACTACACTTACTAGCTTGGATGATCTCCTGCTTTCCGTGAAGTTCCAGTGTATTGGAAATAATCTCGTATGTCTTCAATTTCCTCCGCGAACGTTAGAGTGTACTCCGAAGTGGGGACTGCGCCAATCCGATTCCTTGTAGCAGATCATATGAATCTGGGAGTGGGTGGGGGCTATTAGTTTGCCTAGGGAAAGGTTTCGGCGAAAGAATAAAATATTGGAAGCCAGACATACGAAGGCTAGGCCAGATTTGGGGCAGGAAATGCCAAGACGACCGAACATGGCATGTTTCGGGCGTTGAGTGAATTCCAGCCTGGTAAGGCTTGCGAGAAGGACAAGTCTTCCATGCTGTCACGATGTCAAGTTTGCAGTGGAGCTTTAGTAGGGTTTATGGCGTGCTAACTAAGAGTGCTTAGGCATGTTCACCTTCCACATTGGAGTTAGCCCCCGTATTTGTGTAAGTTGTTGAAAAAATTTGTATGGCAGATGTTTTCTGGACACAATAGTTTACAGTGGGTCTGTCTCTCGTACTAACCCTAATCGGTATAATGATCAGCTGCATAACATTTGTGCATTTTTGCAACTTGACTTCATAACTTATTTACAGGAGTTCAAAAGTTATCGAATCACAAAATAGAGCCAGTCTTATCTTAACCTTGGATCTGAACATGTGGCTGGAATATTTTCAAGCCTAAATATCTGGTTGGTCCTCCATCCTTATCTATCACAGCCTGACATCTTGCTGGCATACTCTGAATGAGTCTCACAAGATCTTCGGAAGACACGGAATCTCATGCCTCCTTTACGATCTTGCGAAGACTATCTTGAGTTTGCTGCTTTCCGCAACCCAGATTCAGATCATGACGCTGGATGTGATCTTTCATCTTCTTCCAAACAGCTTCAATTGGGTTCAGATCAGCCGAGTTGGCCGGCCAGAAAATTAATTGAATGAGCATCTGGCTCAAATCTTCCATTGTACTTGCTGCTGTGTGAGCAGGAGCATTATCCTGCATTACGGAAAGCCAAGGCCTCATTGAGACCACGCCATTGATAAGAGAAACTATTTTCTCGCAACATTTTTTGGGAGTTAATAGATCCCCACTCGGAAGGCAAGACTAAACACCTGTACGCGGTGTCCTCTACGAACCTGGGAGTGAAATATTCTCCCAGAGCCAAGTTCAGTCAAATTTCGCAATATCAAAGAAGTTGGCCCACGAGGCAAAAATCCAAATTACTCCTCCACGTCGTTATTTCGCTCCCAACGAGTTTGACTCCTACCTAAGTCTCATCAAGCCTACAAGTACGACCAAGTACATCCTCATCCCAATGATCAAACCTCTTGTCGACTTTCTCTGGCCTCAGCCGGTCACCAAATACACGCCCACGCCGATATTTACACCCGATGAAGGTAGCAAAGCGTTGCGCACAAATCTGGGAGACAGTTCTTTGGGATGGACGTGAGAGGTATTAGGACAAGCTGATAAGATGATGGAGAGGATGGATACATTCTCGACGGGCGTGGAATTTTGAGTTTTGGAAAGGAATATTTACGAATTGAGCTCTGTGTGTGCCAAGTCTTCGGCTGCGAGAGTGCAGGCGACACTATAAAAACTGCCATGGTTGGATGGTGCGGTGGTACATCGTCTTGGCCGGTCTACCATGTAGAGTCTGGATAGCTTGGATACACATCCCACTCGAGACAGTAGATCGCTGGTTCAAATCCGGCAAAACACAACCACTTTTCTCGCGACGCTGGTATACATGGATGACGAAGGCATGCTTGGATCACCAAAGGTTTTGAATTTCCCTTTGGTGGGTACTTACGGAGGAAGGTCGACTGTTTGTGTAGGCAAGCATATCTCACAGTGGTATTTGCAAATGAAATCCAGAGTATGAGTGTCTCTAACGTCAAAAGAGTCATCCAATATGTATACACAGCTCCGATCATGTGTCATAGCTCCATAGCTGAATATACACTAAATTATTTAAAAAAAAAGATACCCATTCCTTCTCCCAAAATAAACAGGGGCCTTTTCCTGGCCCTGCGAAGCAACGCCAGAACATCCAGCCGCCCCTCTTCGATTTTTCTCCAACACAATCAGGATTGTATTCTTGGAAAGTCTAGCTCATAACGTTAGAGCATCAAATTACTATCTTTTTATAGAGGAATGTAAGAACACTTCTTTTCGCCCATTCTCTAGATTGTCTTCCATCCTCTACCCAAGTTTCGTCTGTCCCTAAAACTGACGTCCAGTCCTCATATGTCCAATTGAGATGAGCTTTGGCCCATTCTCTGCGCGTCTTCATAGTTTTCTGAGATACTGGAGGCTTTAGACGAGCCACATGTCGCTGATATCATCTTTTTTGAATTTCTCTTTGTATTACCCGCTCGCTAACACCTAGATGTCTGAAGGGGCCAGAGGCAAGTTCCAGAAATAATTTGCGGCGGTTTTCAGGTGAAGACTCAATTTAAGATATAATCTGATCAACATCATCTGCTTTCAGTTTTGAGGATGTTCTTTTTCTCTTTTCGGGTGAGACATTTCAGGGGCACAGCCAATAACTAACATGTCCCCGAGAAATGCCCAGTTGCCCGACAATCTGCGAGTGGTTTTTGCCAGATTCATTGAACCAACAAATCTGAAAATTTCCTTTAAATTCAATCCGATAATATTGAAAATTTTAGCTTGCCAAAATGTTTTGATCTATGGATTATCGTTTGAATCGAGGTGTTGAATGTGGGGTTTGAGTTGGATTCATCTGCAAAATAAGGTCAGTGTAGAATGAAGCCATATGTCTGCTGAATAAACAACTTTAGTTTTAAGGAACCTAATTCTTATTTTCATTCAAGCAACAGACGAGAAGAGCTGTATAATATTTTAGCGATCGGCGGACAGAGATGTGATGGAATTGACCTAGAGAACAGGTTAGATTTGCATAAAACTAAGGATGACAAGAAATCAAATTCTGCCTTTAGTTTAGGCCTCATAATCCAGGACAGGAATTGTGTACCCTGTCGAATTGAGCGCTAACAGGGGCCTATCCCCTGAAGCGAGCATTCACCCCACTTAGATCCACTGCAAACTTGATACCGTGGCCACATGTTACTAGTCCTGCAACGGGCGAACCTTCCAATTTCCGTCAGACCCCACATCCGAAGTTCCCTATAGTGTCGCACGACTTTTGGCCCACCAGCACAATCTCAAGCGAAGTTGTGTCCGTCCCTCCCCCTTCCTAAATGTGGCACGGTCATAAGTGAGTCTTCGAATTAATTTAGATGTGTAAGCAGACTTAAGTCTATTATGCTGGGGTCAAGTTCTCAGGCAGGATGTAGATCAGTGACAGGGATATGGACCCCAATCTTTACATATATGGGGGTAGTAACGAAGCCACCAGAATAGCATCACGTACTTATTATTAATTCATTTTATCGTTGTGTCTGAGTCTACGAATACATAGGTAACGCAGGTCCTCTCTGCCTACAGGCCAAGGATACCTATACCAGTAGTATATCCCCTCCTAGCACACCATACAGCTCCCCTCAAACAGTAGCACCCCTTACAAGTCCTCATTCGATCATACACTTAAAGGAGCCCTTTGCCTCAAGCGTACTATTCAACGGCCCTATAAAAATCAGCAGATGGTAGATTTAAAAGCTTTGCCGAATTTGGGTATGGAGATGGCAATAGTTATGCGTAAAATTGATAAAGTTTTGTCTTCTGAAGCAATAAAAGAGGACGAAAGTATCCTTGGCCTGTAGGCAGAGAGGACCTGTATGTCCTACATAGTCATTGACTCAGACAGGACAATAAAATGAAATTTAAAAAAAAAGAGAACGAAAGACGCAAGTGGGCAATGGCTCGCAGCCAGAAAATCCAAAGTTGTTCATCCCGAGGAACCTGTAAGTCCGTATCCCTAAAAGCCATGAAGGATGGAGGGCGTCTTGTAACATCGAAATGGGCGTCGAAAAGATTAGAATTAAATTGAAGTCCCTACTGAGTCTACGACTATAAAGGACTGCTAAAATTAGATAATTTGCCACCAAAATTTACTTGTTTTAACATAAGGCTTATTTTCAATTTTTTGTAATAGACACTGAGGGTCTTGGCCCTTCAAAAAAATGTGCGTCGAAGAATAAATGCGAATCGAACGTGACACTGGACAAACATAGAGATACAGTACTGGTTACGGGTTGTAGTCTGAATAAAGGAGATGAATTCAACGAAGATTTATTCTGACACTTCCCCGAGCAACTAGGATTTATGGACAGATCTTCGCTTTAGAACTGAGAGGACATGTAAGCTGACTTGTGCTTACGTAAGTCTTGATCCAGTCCAAAGGCGAAAGCACAATCTGCGTGAAGGCATGTTAGATTAGTGATGATGCTCTTTTTTTTTTTTTGCATCAGATTTGAATTGCGTATGCAGCTATTTAGCTATGACACAATATCAAAGAAAAGTACAGAATAGATGATTCATCGTTAAGGAAGAGCACTCATGCCTCGAATTTCATTTGCAAGTACCACTGCGAAGTTATGGCGGCTTTTTCTTCACCCCAAGTCAACCC